GGGAGGGAAGTCAGTACAGATGAAGAGGGAGTGACAGGACAAATGTCATCAAGGTCATTTGAAAAAGTCTCAAGGAATCAGTAGTTTAGTATTTATCTAAAATTAAATTCTCTGTCTCTGTCTCTCTTCCCTCCCTCCTCTCTCTTTGTGTGTGTGTGTGTCTCTGTCTCTCTGGTCTCTGTTTCTCTTCCCCTCCCTCTGTGTGTGTGTGTGTGTGTGTGTGTGTGTGTATGTTTGGTGTTCCCCATTAGAACCACAGTCTTAACAAAAACTACCATTTCATGCAAGTACCTCCTTTCAAATGGTTGGTAAGGGAGTTTGTGACACTCCTCAAATAATACAGATTATCTATGTAGGTCTTTGTGCTTCTCAGAAGTTAAGGGTGTGCCCATATTGCTAAAGACAGCATGCGCTTATGACACAGGATTCAGATGATTTGAGCTGGACCTGAATTGAAAGCCTTTTTCTTGTGGTCTAATTTCCATGGTTCCAGAAAATACTATGTAAGCTGCAAAAGGACAGAGGCAATCAAATAGTTTTGCCCAGCCACAACATCTAGGAACCACAAATATTGCCAGCACAGCAAGATATCCATGAAAGTGCAGTAAGTGGCACTCACATGTCAGAGGCAGTCAACAGCTGCATAACTGGACTTATGACATACTCAATAGGATGGAAGTCATGCCTGGTACTTGAAACCCAGCCAGCTTTTGGGGGCTAGTCATGGACCTTACAAAAGAATCTTTGCTAGACCAGTGGAATTCCTTACTATACTTTAATTCCAAGTCTTACCCTTATACCCATAGCTAAGTTTCACAAACATCTCTTAACAAAGAGTCCTCTGTAGCAAATAGGGACCATCACAGAAAACCATAATTACACACAATGCAATAGACTGTGGGGGAGCCCAGCTCCAACAGATACATCTATACCACAGCTCCTGTATTTATGGCTCAGGGAATATCATGGGAGAGGGGACAAAATGATTTTAAGGGCTAGAATACCAGAAATCTGCTGTGAAACAGCCTCATCCAGCAATGTCTACATAAACAGGACCAGAGAATGGCACTACTAATAGGAATGGGAATGCAGAAGGGAAAAATTTTCACTGGGTCTTGCTAAGCACAAAACTGCAGGCAGACAGGAGCATGTTGTCCTCTGAGAGGCTCTACCCAGCAGCTGACTCACACAGACACAGACACTGACAGCCAAACAGTGGATGGAGTTTGAGGACCCTAAGAGAAAAATAGAAGGAAGGACTGTGGGTCGTGAAGGGAATGGAACTCCATAGGAATATCAATAGAGTCAACTAACCTGGACACATGGCGTTCTCAGTGTCTACACTACCAGCCAAAGAACACACATGGGCTGGACCTAGGCCTCCCCATTTGTATGTAGCAGGTGTGCAGGTTGGCCTTCATGTGGGTCTCGAACAACTGGAACAGGGCCTATCCCAAAAGATGTCACCTGTATGTGGGGTATGTTTTAGTAGCTGGGCCTCCTTGTCTGGCCTCAGTGGGAGAGGAAGCACCTAGCCTCAGAGACTTGAAGTGCCGGGAGGGGAGCACCCGCTCAGAGGAGAAGGGGATGGGGGAATAAGGAAAGGATTATGGGAGGGGGTGACCAGGAGGGGATAGTGAGTGGGGATGTAAAGTGAATAAGTAAAAAACAAAACAAAAAATCATGTAGGCAACCAATGACTCCTGGGAGGAGAATTAGCCTTTCCTAGAGATGAGCCCCTTTATTGGCTGTCCAGTGCAGTGTGATGAGCCTTGAAACACATATACACAAACAACAAAAATGGACTCTGTATGCATGTTTATACCTATACATCCATACATGTACATATGTAGCAACAATAATCAAAGAAAAGGAGTCTATCAACTTGAAGGGTGTCGTAAGAAGGGTTTGAGAGAAGGCAGCTGGGACAGGCTGGAAGGAAGAGAAGGAAGGGTGAAAATGATGTGATTCTATTTCAATTAAAAATATTAATAAAGATATGTCTAAGAGATTTCAAAATTATTGTAAAAAACTAAAGCAGATATAGATTCTGATTTAATGAATAGAAGGAAGGCACTGCCAAGAATTAGAGGCAATTTGATTTCCCATTGAAAAGTGCTTTCTAATGATATACTCTAAGAGACTCACAGCATATTAACTCTAGTTCTAATGAAAGCAATTGTCCAAGTTTTCCCTGGAGAACAGCCTGGGTCACAACAATCCAGGCTCATGGAAAGTCACGAGTCTCAAATGAGAGCAAATGAACACCCAGCTGGGAAGAGGCAGCCATCATTAATGTAACACCATTCTTTCAGGTCGGACCATGTCTACACGTCCCTGGAGAGAAATAAGGTCAGCACAGGGTAGAGGCCATGCTTTCAAATACATTTAAAGACTTTTTACTTAAAAAGATAATATGCTCACAGGATGCTTTGTGGAAAAAACAAAAACAAAACACCAATTTCTCCTGTTAAGGACTGGGAGGAGACAGTAATACAGAGTTTGCCAATATCCTCTCCAACGTCCATATTGTAACAAGTGTTTCTGAACACCGCTGCCAAGCAAGTTTACATCCAATTTTAGACAATGTATCCTTAACAGCAGCAGCTGACAGACAGCATCATTAAAGAGTTATTCTAAGCCTCTGACTAAGAAGATGGAAGCTGTTTGAGACTTTCCAAGCTGCTTCAATTTAATGAGCAGTAAGCATCTTTCATGTCCTTTTAAAAATGGTTAATATGTCTCTCTAGTCCCATTATCACTGCCAGAACATCTCCTTAGATGCTTTGTGACCAAGACAGCTCCTGTTTGTTTGAGAAAAGATCAGAAAGTCAAATCTGCTTGCATGCATGCGGCTGTTAATAAAACTCCTACGGGGATCTCATGATTATTTATATTTTCTAATCGTTTTCTAGAATTACAATTGCAATTGTAAATTCATAATGTAAACGAATCTTCACAAATTAAAGCAGTAGTGGGCAAAAGATATTCATCAGATTTATGTGAAAGGACACTGTTTGCAGGATTTGATCAAAGCAGAAAAATTAAAGCACTGTTACCTTGCATTCAACTCAAGTGTTAAAACGCTCGGCAACTTTGGGGGCTTATTGGAGCAGATGTTAACTTTTTATGAAAATAAACACTTGGTATAGGACTTGCATTCATGATCCGACTCTTTGTTACACTAAAGTGCTGAAAAAGATTTACTACACACTCTTGTTGACATGGCTTATGGTACACGACCAATCTGAATAACTGTTCATTCAAGCCACTTGAAAACTTCAAAAGCATAAAATTCTAATAAATCTCATTTTTGTCTGTATCTTTATATTTTCTTGTTCACTTTATTTCTTCTATTTTAGTTTATTTATTTATTTATTTATTTATTTATTTATTATTTATAGGCTTAGGGGTAAAAGCATCTGAGGTTGTCATGTAGTAGAATTTTCTTTAGTTCGTCCAGTAGAAATTTCACTGTGTCTAGTCTGACATGCTCACAGCAAAAGTGACCAGCCGTCCTTCCATTCTATTACCTGTCATTTCCATGCTACAATTTTTATCCCACTGTGTATGGGATGTGACTGTACATGCACAGTTCCCTTCCAAGTTAATTTGCTGTGCAATGGTGTGTAAAATTTACCTCTAATTATGATAAGACCATTGACGGGTCATTTATGATACACTCTCTGGAGGCAATGGCAGCGATTAGCTTTCAGCATGACTCATCTGGAGGAAATTAAATTGGTCTGATCATGACTTGGTAGAAAATAAAAGTCTCTTAGGAAATTATTCCTCAGTCAGGCTTATAGCGAAAAGGGAACCTGGGGGCTGTAGACGCAATGGTGAAGACTGTAGGATCATTTAGACCTAAGTTTGAATCTGGGGCTCTCTTGGGCCTAGAAAACATTATAACATCTCTGAATATCTCCTGGCTTCCATTCCTGACGTGTGCTTATTTTCTCAATGCCTGGGATCTCTCACCACGCCCCTCCCTTCTGTAGCTTGAGCATGCCAAGGTTATTCTTGCTTGGTATCTTTCACCACAGAATCTCTCATTGGTGGGTTTCTCTTCCTGGGAATCTCCACACGGCTGGGATATCCTCATTTTTTCCACTTTTCAATCAGTGAGATACATCATGTCCACTTTTCTCAGGTTCCCAAAGGTAAATCTCTGTCTCTGAGCTTATATAAGTAGTCCAGGCTGGACAGAAACTCCCTGTAGAGCCAAGAATGATCTTGACCTTGATCTTCATGCTCTCACCTCTCATGTGCTGGCACTTCAATCATATGTTACCCTGAGGTGCTGTAAGATAGGCTCCTCTGAGGGCCCGGGGGAATTCCCTGTCAGGTAGCCAGCCTGTCAGTCACTGTTGTATCCTCTTTAGTGCTTTTAATAAAGTACTAATTATACTTCAAATTATTTACTTATTGTTTGTTATATAATTACATTTGTAAGTTACCATTGGAAGGAGAGTCTAAAAGCAATGACTATCTTAACTAGGATATTTCCCAGTCTTGAAACTCTACCAGCATCAAAAATTAGCTGAGCCAATATCATTTGAGAAAATGGATTAAAAATGACAACTAAATTAATAAATCAGGGATGACAAACTTCTTAAACTTTACATATGACAGCATAAAGATAGGACTCCTGTGAGAAATTTTAACAAACCAATCACAAATGTAATTTCACACACCACAGTATGACCATCACAGTCTTCCATGAAAAAATAATACAGTGATAATTTAATTATTAGTAATTTTTGAAGAAGGTCTCTACATATAATTTTTGGAGACAAAAATTTAAATTAATTAATACAAAATTTTATATTTATTTATTTTGGTCTCTTTTGTCCTCATTCTTATGACATGAACATAGTGACAAGTTTTTAATGTACCATGTTCAGTCATTCTTTTTCAACCACAGGCCTACTGCAGAATGGACTACAAGTTCATTCTCTTTCTCTGTTTACTAACGTAAATGGTAACAAAATCCTTACCAAAGTGTCCAGTCGTGGGTACAGTATGGCTGAACATTCCCAAGGTAGAATCCCAGAGATTGAGTGACTTCCACGAGATTGCTAAAGTCAAGACTGATGCTGTTGAACAGGACAGAGGTCATGACAATCTCATCAATGGCCCATACATCTTCTCCTTGGAAAGAATGATATGGCTGCCACCATCTGAACTGGATTCCAAACTGTCTTGCATCATCTGGTAGTTCTACAGAGATTATCCTAATGGGGAAAGAAGTTAGAATTCAGATACCTTACTGTCTTAAATTATAAGTATTTATACTACAAACCTCACTTCCAAGGAAGTAGTTGAATAAACTGAATTATTTAAAACTCTAATCTCCAAGATTGAATAGACTAAACAATTAGGATAGTTCCCCTGAAGGATTAACATGAATCTATTATATACATTCTCCTTAGATGTCTGACTTGCTGTATGTCCCCAACAATGTCCTCTACACATATCAAAAAATGTGACTGTGTGCTCAAAGAAGCTAATTCAATCAAACATAGTATACTCCTCAAAGTGGCACAGGGTGAGCCTGAGAGGCTTGTCACAGATACAGCTGTAGTGTGATGGGAGCATGGTGCTCCATGGTCCCGCGTTTAGCATGGTGGGCATAGGTCAGTAGCTGTGTCCCAGTGGCATGACAACAAGTCTGTACCTGATAAATGCTGAAGAAAATTAAGAATAATACCTAATTTCAAGGAGCAATTATTATACACAACAGCAGGAACCGCACTTTAATTGCCTCTGCAACGACAGCAGCCGGAAAGCTACATCACAGTCCCATGCTGCTCACATGCACACTCGAGGTGAGATGTGAAATGAACTCAATTAAGCCCCAGGAAAGCTGCCTCAGGTGATGCAAACTGGAGCACCTGTGGAGGTTTTCCTCGGTCAGTGAAGAGAAAGAAAGACTTCACTCATTTGTAGGCTAAAAGGCTATATAGGTAACTTAAAGTGCCTGAAACGCCAATGTCCAAGGCTGACTTTCCTGAGAGATTATACTGCTTTTTGTATTTTTTGTGTTTAAAAAAATTGTTGAAACTATAGCTTGAAAATGTGATTTACTTAATAAAAATTAATATGTATTTCTCCGTTAACAGCTTGTTTTGGAATACATGGGCAGAGAGATGTGAGTGTCTGTGTTGGTGACATAAATAGTCACAATTAGTTGAAACTTTCTAAACCAAGAGAAAACACATCCTAAAGAATAGTGGAACATCAATATAGAAACACAGTGATTTAAATTTAAAAAATATAAATTTAAAAAACTTAACCTAGAAAGATATTTAATGAAACTAAAAAAACAAAGAACTAAATATATTTGTGGTTTTAGTTTCCATAATCTGACAAACTTCTTATTGATAGAATTAATTAGATGACAGTTAATATGATGACACAGTTAAATTAAGCCTTTTTGATGGTTTTCACTTCCATTTTTCTTTATACTTATTGTATGGCCATAACATAGCATGTATAGGGGACATAATTGAACTATATTATAACTGGTTCAATAATGTAACTATTAAACTATTAAATTATCACTTCATAATTTAATTTGATTATCATATTAGAGAGTTATAATTTTCTTCTATTTTAATAATTTTAAATGCAGTTAATCATCTCGCTAATGAACAGAAATAGAAGCTTAAAATAGCCAAAATTAGAGTATTTTATGTACATGCATGTAACAGTAATTAAAGAGATCAGTGTTTTCCTAACAGAGGAGTTACTATTCTTGGTGTGTACTTAGACCTTGGGCCAGAGTTCCCATGCTGTCACCTGAGACTGATGGCTTTGGAGCTGAAGGGAGGCTGCTTTATGTGCCTTGTGTGTCTCAGCATTTTTACCAGAGAAATGAGGATAAAGCCATCCCACGGGAAGGGCCAGAACCTTTTCCTCCGTCTTTCATCTTCATGCCAGAATGTAAAGCTGTGGTTAATGTATGGTGAAGACACAAACTCCTGATGTTAAGTGTCAGTAGTTGAGGTCAAAAAGGTGAGGACACAGAGACAGAGGGAGGCCAAGTGTCTCTTACATATTACATAATTTCAGATTTGATACATAAGCAGACAGTTGTTTTATTTTTGAATAAATCACAGACAAATTATCTGAAACTATCCTTTAGCAATAGTGGTGGCCAGCTAGAAGACCAACATATGGCTTATCCTTCATTTCTGAACAACACAAGAATGTGGGGTGAAACAGAAGCTAAGTGACTGGTGGGGGGGGTTAGATATAAACACACTTCTTCTTGTTCTTGGTCTTCTATTCCACACATCTGCCAAGAGGTTGGGGGTTCTTAATGATATCATGGCTATTTACATATCAGAGTGGCTGGCTGGAATAGCTAGGGAACCTTTGATTAGAATGTCGCTTGGTTAGAATACAGAGATTTAGGTTAACCTGGTTCAGTCTTTCCTCTGTGGGTAGGTGTTATATCTGCTTTTCTTTTAGGCATGTGTGTGTGTGTGTGTGTGTGTGTGTGTTTACATGTGTGTGTTTATACATGTGTGTACAGGTGAATGCACACATGTATGGGAGCCTGAAGTTCATGTTGCATGTCCTCCCTGATTGATCAGTTGTCATTTTATTTGCTGGGCGGAGTCTGTAGCTGAACCTAGAGTTTAGCTCTGTTAGTCTAGGCAGATTAACCCAGGTAATCCAAGCTTTGCCTTGCAAGCACCTGCCCAAATCAACCAACTTTTATGTGGGTTTTGGGAATCTGAACTTTGTATCCACTGAATCACTTCCCTAGCCTTCATGCAGTTATTTTTTAATTTGATATTTTTATATATATTAAAGAATTGGGTAACTTGAAACAAAGGGATCAAACACAATAAATATTCAAGGCATAAAAATTGATCATGACTTTATATTTAAATAATTTTAAACTATAAAAATATAAGTAAGAAAAAGGATGAAATAAATTCAAGCTCTAACAGAATTATGATATTTTACAGTAATAAGAGTACCAACTAGTTCACAAGATATTCATTCAAATTAGGCATATTACACAATTACAGATTTGATACATAAGCAGACAGTTGTTTTATTTTTGAATAAATCACAGACAAATTATCTGAAACTATCCTTTAGCAATAGTGGTGGCCAGCTAGAAGACCAACATATGGCTCATCCTTCATTTCTGAACAACTATGACATCAAGAGATAATATAGGATTCAAAGCAATTACAGGAAGCAATTTATACTGAAGAAAACAGACTACATGGCTGAAGGCATCAAGATATATTTAACTCTATGAAAAATTTCCAAGGTTTATATTATTTATTATGAAGAATATAATTTAGTACCTGGAATATATCAAATTCTACTTCTGCAATGTCAGCTTTTATTAATATTTGTGAGGGAGAGAGGGAGGGAGAAGTGTCTTACAGTCAGATGTGCAAGTGCAGAAAATGAGGGCGTGGGGGGCCACTACCACATTCTTCTTTTAAAAAAAAGCAAACCTCCAGTCTGATCTTAATCTTTTAAACTAAACACATTCCTAATACTGAAAAGCTGCCTTAATTCTATTTAGAAGAAGGATATTACTGTCAAATGGTGGGCACAGTTAAATACACCTTTGCAGTAGCACACTAAATATGTCATTATTTTTCATACCAACAAAGATGAATTATATTTAATTATATAGAATGATTGCTGAATTTTGCAGCTGTCCATTTTTGTCAGGAAAAAGTTGGGCATTAGGCCAAGTTCACTTAGGATGGTAATATTTTCTTCATGATTTCACCCTGTTGCTTTATGTTTAATTTATTGATTCAGATTAATGATGAAGAGTCCATGGAACATTTCTATGAGACTTGTGTAACTCATAGTTACACAAATGATGAAGAGAATTTGGTTTTACATGTTTATGTGTACAACAAAAGAATCCACCAAAGCTGGGTCATTTAAAATTTGTTTTAGTGTGTAAAATTTAGGCCATAATAGTGAATGATTAGCTCTGATTCATGCTACTTCATTTTACGCACAAAATTATTATCTTTTTTGCAAATGATTAAAGTGGAGTGGCCATACCAAGATTGTAAAATATGTAGCATGCATTATGAGTCCTCTTTTCTCTTTTAAACCTTGTCTACTCCCACGGTGCCAGGGCAAATCTTGAGGACCAACCTGCTCCCCATCCCAGGAGAAAACGGTTCTTCCCAGAAGGAAGCAGTATGAGTTTGATATGACTGTAAGTGTGCTACAGCATTTGCCTCTAATGGTGTTTGACTTGATGCCTTAACTGTAAGATCTCCCTTCCTTGTCTCCTTTTGTTCTTTCTAAAGGACTTTCCTGAGAAGACCTGTGTGTATTATAGCAGGCAAGAATGTCTTTGGTGGGTAACATACTGTCACCAATGAAGGATAGTCCTGTCAGGTAAATCTTACTCTGACAGTTGTGTGTATAGCCATTAAATATACAAGCAGAGAGAAACAGAAGTGGCCGGAGGAAAGGATTTTATTTATATCTTCACATATGCCATTGTCAGGGACTCAATACACATGAAAAAAATTTGTTTGTATTTACTATTTAATTTTACTGTGTGAAAACTAAAAACATGTTAATTATAAGCTTTAATGAATTATTATAATCTCTATATGTAACTTATTATTACAAAATGTTTTATGATTAAGAATAACAGTATAGGCTGTATTTCTTTTTTTTTCCTTTTTTCAAGGTGAATTTATTAATGATTTAAATGAAAGTATGTTTATAGAGAGCTTTGTAATGCTTCCTTTTTTGTTTTTTTTATTGGATATTTTATTTACATTTCAGATATTATCCCCTTACCCCATTTCCCACCTGTCCAGGAACCCCCATCCCATCCCCCCTCCTCCTGCTTCTATGAGGGTATGCCCCCACCTACCCCCCCACTCCCACCTCCCCACCCTCAAATTCCCCTCACACTCCAGCCTTCATGGGACCAAGGATCTCCTCTCCCACCTATGACCAACAAGGCCATCCTCCCCTACATATCCAGATGGAACCATGGATCGCTCCCTATGTGTTCTCAGGCTGGTGGTTTAGACCCTGGGAGCTCTGGTTGGTTGGTATTGTTGCTCTCTCCTCATGGGGCCCGCAAACTCTTTCAGAACCTTCAGCTCCTTCTCTCTCACTCCTCCATTGGGAACCCCATGATCAGCTCAATGGTTAGCTGTGTGCATCCACCTCTGTAATATTTCAGGCTCTGGCAGACCTCTAAGGAGACAGTATACACTTCTGTATGGTCCTGTCAGCATACACTTCCTGGCATCCACATCAGTGTCTACCTTTGGTGACTGCACATGGGATGGATACCCAGGTGGAGCAGTCTTTGGACAGCCCCTCCTTCAGTTTCTGTCTCACACTTTGTCTCCATATTTGATCCCTTGAGTATTTTGTTACTCCTTCTAAGAAAGACCAAAGCACCCACACTTTGGTTTTCCTTGTTCATGAGCTTCATGTGGTCTGTGAGTTGCATCTTGGGTATTGTGAGCTTTTGGGATAATATCCAATGATCAGTGAGTGAATACCATGTATATTCTTTTGTGATTGCGTTACCTCACTCAGGGTGATACTTTCTAGTTCCATCCATTTACCTAAGAATTTCTCGAATTCATTTTTTAATAGCTGAGTAATACTCCATTGTGTAAAAGTACCACATTTCCTGTATCCACTCCTCAGTTGAAGGACATCTGGGTTCTTTCCAGCTTCTGGCTATTATAAATAAGGCTGCTATGAACATAGTGGAGCATATGCCCTTGTTGTATGTTGGAGCATCTTCTGGGCATATGCTGCATATGGTATGACTGGGTCCTCAGGTAATGCTATGTCCAATTTTCCTCAGTTTCTGTTTTTATGACTCCCTTTTCAGTTCTTATTTTATTAATTTGGATACTGTCTCTGTGTCCTCTGGTTAGTCTTGTTAAGGGTTTATCTATCTTGTTGATTTTCTCAAAGAACCAGCTCCTGGTTTTGTTGATACTTTGTATAGTTCTTTCTGTTTCTACTTGGTTGATTTCAGCCCTGAGTTTGATTATTTCCTGCCTTCTACTCCTCTTGGGTATATTTGCTTCTTTTTCTTTTAGCACTTTCAGGTGTGCTGTCAATTTGCTACTGTATGCTCTCTTCAGTTTCTTTTTGTAGACACTTAGAGCTATGAGTTTTCCCCTTAGTGCTGCTTTCATTGGGTCCTATAAATTTTGGTATGACGAGCCTTCATTTTCATTAAATCCTAAAAAGTCTTTCTTTCTTTCTTTATTTCTTCCTTGACCAAGTCATCATTGAGTAGAGCGTTATTCAGTTTCCATGTATAAGTGGGCTTTCCATTGTTTTTGTTATTATTGACGGCCAGCCTTAATCCACAGTGAACTGATAGGATGCATGGGATTATTTCAATATTTTTGTATCTGACAAGGCCTGCTTGGTCACCAATTATATGGTCTAATTTGGAGAAAGTACCATGAGGTGCTGAGAAAAAAGGTATATTATTTTGTTTTAGGATGAAATGTTCTATAGATATCCGTTAAATCCATTTGGTTCATAACTTCCCTTAATTCCACTGTGTCTCTGTTTAGTTTCTGTTTCCATGATCTGTCCATTGATGAGAGTGGGGTGTTGAAATCCCCTACTATTATTGTGTGAGGTACAATGTGTGCTTTGAGCTTTAGTAAAGTTTCTTTTATGGATGTGGGTCCCCTTGCATTTGGAGCATAGATGTTCAAAATTGAGAGTTCATCTTGGTGGATTTTTCCTTTGATGAGTATGACGTGTCCTTTCTTAACTTTTTTGATAACTTTTGGGTTGAAGTCAATTTATTCAAAATTTGAATAGCTACTTCAGCTTTTTTCTTGGGACTATTTGCTTGAAAAATTATTTTCCATCCTTTTACTCTGAGGTAATGTCTATCTTTGTCACTGAGGTACATTTTCTGTATGCAGCAAAATTCTGGGTCTTGTTTACATACAGTCTGTTAGTCTATGTATTTTTATTGAGGAATTGAGTCCATTGATGTTAAGAGATATTAAGGAGAGGAGATTGTTTCTTCCTGTTATTTCTGTTATTAGAGGAGGAATTAGGTTTGTGTAACTATCTTTTTTTGATTTGTTGGAAGATTACTTTCTTGCTGTTTCTAGGTTGTAGTTTTCCTCCTTGTAATGGAGTTTTCAATCTATTATCCTTTGTAGTGCTAGATTTGTGGGAAGATTTTGTGTAAATTTGGTTTTCTCATGGAATATGTTGGTTTCTCCATCTATAGTGATTGAGAGCTTTGCTGGGTATAGTAGTCTGGGCTGGCATTTGTGTTCTCTTAGGGTCTGTATGTCATCTGTCCAGGATTTTCTAGCTTTTATAGTCTCTGGTGAGAAGTCTGGTGTAATTCTTATAGGTCTGCCTTTATATGTTTCTTGACATTTTTCCCTTACTGTTTTTAGTATTTTTTCTTTGTTTTGTGCATTTGATGTTCTGATTATTATGTGATGGGAGGAATTTCTTTTCTGGTCTAGTCTATTTGGTGTTCTGTAGGCTTCTTGTATGTTCATGGGCATCTTTTTCAGGGGTTAGGAAAGTTTTCCTCTATAATTTTGTTGATATTTACTGGCCCTTTAAGTTGGGAATCTTCACTCTCATCTATAGCTATTATCCTTAGGTTTGGTCTTCTCATTGTGTCCTGGATTTCCTGGATATTTTGGGTTAGGAGCTTTTTGCATTTTGATAGTTGTATAAATGGTTTCCATGGTATCTTCTGCACATAAGATTCTCTCTTCTATCTCTTGTATTCTGTTGGTGATGCTTGCATCTATGAGTACTGATTTCTTTTCTAGGTTTTCTATCTCCAGGGTAGTCTCCCTTTGAGATTTCCCTATTGTTTCTACTTCCATTTTTACACCTTGGATGGTTTTGTTTAATTCCTTCACCTGTTTGGTTGTGTTTTCTTGCAACTATTTAAGTGATTTTTGTGTTTCCTCTTTAAGGGCTTCTACCTGTTTAGCTGTGTTCTCCTGTATTTCTTTAAAGGAGTTGTTTATGTCTTTCTTAAAGTCCTCTATCATCATCATGAGAAGTGATTTTAAATCTGAATCCTGCTTTTCCGGTGTGATGTGATGTCCAGGACTTCCTATGGTGGGAGAACTGGGTTCTGATGCTTTCAGGTAACATTGATTTCTGTTGCTTATGTTCTTGCACTTGCCTTTGCCATCTGGTTATCTCTAGTGCTACCTGCACTAACTGTCTCTGACTGGAGCCTGTCTTTCCAGTTATCTTGTTTGCGTCAGAACTCCTCAGAGTCCATATGTCTCTGTGATCCTGTGATTCTGAGCTCCTGAGTGGAAGAGCTCCCGTGACTCAGGCTGCCTCTGGATCCTGAAATTCTGCTGCTCTGAGTGCAGTAGTTACACCACTGCTCTAACATGGTTCAGGATTTGGTGTCTTCACAGGAGCAAGTGTCTGTCACAGCCAAAAGTACCAAGTGAGGGGTGGAAGAGGAGTGGTATTACAGAGGGGTAGGATTTGGCTGGGTGAGGGGTCCAGAGTGCCCGAGGCTCCCAGTTGCAGCTGTGGGGCATAGGGTTGTGGGGGAGGGTTCTTACCAGGTGCTCCAAGAAGGTTCAGGATAAGGTATCTTCAAGAGAGCAGACCAGCCAGGTGTCTGCCCCAACCAATAGGACCAATCCAGAGGTTGAAGGTGAGTGGTATTCTGGAGGGGCAGGGTTTGGGTGGGTTGCAGCTCTGGGTCTTAGGGTTGTTGGGGAGGGTTCTTACCAGGTGCTCTAGGAAGGTTCAGGATAAGGTGTCTTCAAGAGAACAGACCAGCTAGGTGTCTGCCCCAGCCAAAAGCTAGGGTATATTTTTTCCTAACTATCAAAGTAGTTTCCTTAAATACACATTTCAAAATACAAGAACATATTTCTTATATTGAAGTCAGTAGGAAACACAGATTTAAAAAATATGGCTTACCAATTGTTCACACAGTAGACAAATATACAGAATCTTATACAATTTGATCCTCCATGATATTGTAAAATTGAGTTATGGTTCATGCCAGGAAGGAAATATTATGGTATCCACTTTTGCTGATGTGCTCTAACATACCTGGGCTCATGGTAGTTGAGATATGAATAGTGTTCCAGGAGCTTCCATGTTATCCCATTGTCATATGAATAGTGCAGTAGAACTCCCTCCCCAGGCTGGTCAGGGGCCCTGCACGTACTCAGCACAGACTTGCTCCCCAGCCTCAGTGTGAACTGCAGAAACCTAGACACAAGTCACTCATGATTAGTAAGCACAATAATATTCTTTTTGATAGACTTAAGTTTTGTTTTCAAAGAATTTCAAATGCATTGAAATGAACATCTCAAAATCTATATATGTTTACATCATTGTTTTATAAAATATAAGTAATTGTACTGAGATGTACAAATGAGTGTAAAAGATTTGTATGTATTTTATATATACAGATGTATCCATAAAATACAACTACATTTATAGCTACTTGTATACTGTGTACTTGTTTACACATACTTAAAATGCCAATCATTCCTTTACTGCATTATTTATCAGGCACTGGGGAAAGGGATGACGTTGAGTAAATCTAATCAGCTCCTGCAAGCTGTCAAATAAATAAACTACATGAATAATTAACCATGCTTTGGCTTAAGAACACAGTTTTGATGCAAGCATCTCATATTTAAAAAAAATAATGTCAGTTGTTAGTAGCTCAAAGTCATTGGTAAGTCTTCTAGTTTATTAAAAACTAGGGAAAATTAATTATAAACAAACTAAGCATCCCTCCAGCCTACTTAAAGACTAGAAGATATATACTAGAAGTAAAAGAAAAAGACTAGAAATTGAAAATGGATCCAAACTCCATCATATGCTTTGTGTATATGCTGTATGCCACCCACACTCACCTGGACTGTGAGCTGTCCAGAAAGGAGGTGATTAGCTGCCGCCTCCCATCTTTGTTGAAAACCAGGGCCTTACCACTGGCTAAGACACCACAGCCAAAACTGACTTCAGCACCACGGATAGAGTAAAAGTTATGGTAGGAGGAAAGTCTGGAACTGCCAAAGCTTTCAGAAATAAACATTGGAAATGTCTGAGATGCCATCTCACAAGCTGGGCCAGAAAAACCAGGGTCACACCTGAAAGAAAGGTAAAAAGGTACTAGAAATGAGTCTTGAGCTGTAGGTCCTTCAGAGCCTGCTGCTCTTGATGGTCTATCCTTTGGACATTCCTGAGCTTACTCGTGTGTGTGTGTGTGTGTGTGTGTGTGTGTGTCTGTGTGTGTGTGTGTCTGTCTGTGTGTGTGTCTGTGTGTGTGTCTGTGTGTGTGTGTCTGTGTGTGTGTGTGTGTGTCTGTGTCTGTGTGATGTGGTGGGTGGGATGGGGTGGTGTTGTGTGGTGTGGTAGGGTGAGATGAGTGGTGTGGGTGGAGTGGGTGTCCAAGACTAGGGATTGGTGAGTGGTAAACAAGTTTCATTAGTCTTTGGAGAATACTGATCTGAAAATTTGGTAAGGGCCAATTGATTGTAAATATTCCAGAAGAAATCATTCTCTGCAGAGCCGTACTACGATTAAAACATCTCAACATTTACCTTTGACCAATATTAGAGCTTACTAAAATGTGCCAAAATCTGCATACACTAAAGCACATGTGATTTCATTCATGATGCTCATAAACTTTATGCATAAAACAATTTTTTTTCCTAGAAACAGGGTTTCTCTGTGCATCCCTGGCTCTCCTGTTACTTGCTCTGTAGACCAAGCTGGCCTCAAACTCACAGAGGTCAGCCTGCCTCTGCCTCATGAAATGCTTCTAATAAAAGATCTAGAGCAAGTTTCTTCTGAGAACAAAGGTAAATGTGAGATTATAAAAGGAATTATTTTACATATTGTGAAGTCATGAAAACAAAGATTTCAAAGGAAAGTCCACACCTCTGACCTAGATACAAATCCTTAACAGAACTCTGTTCCGTCTCAATGGCTCTCAACTCAACTTCTCATGCTTCAAGAAAAAGAAACGTGTCTCCCCAGGGGCTGACTGCTCAGTGAGAGTATCTTACCTTACATTGTCTGCTGAACCCCCTCCATCTTTAAGCAATGTGTAAACTTCATCATTGCTGAATTAATGTCTGAATATCAGAAACATATAGTTTAGTTACCTTTAGTTCTATAGTAGAATTTAGTAAAGTGAAGTCAGTGTCTTTAGTGCAGGAACATTTTTTACTGAAGCCTTTAAGCTTCCTTAAGTCTGAAATAACCCTTCCACACAGCAGTGTATCAATGAGTGAGTGTTATGGCCTAGCTCAGAGAATGCTCTCTGGCAGTGTTTCTGAAACCAAGGCCCACAATATCCTTCTCCAGGGTCCTCAGAATGTGATAACAAGTGGAATCAAAATGCCATATTTGATGTACATTATATTTTCCAGCATGTAAGTATACCATTTTTGTCAGGTTAACAAGGAAGTTGGCCCCGAAAATGCCCAGGACTAATACAGTATGAAGTTCGAGAGCTAACTTGTCAGTGTAAACAGCTTTGGGGAAAATGAATGCCTATCTACCAACCATGTTAATGAGCTCCAGCTTCTTTACAGGTTATTTCATAGATACAGTCATCCTCTGAGTCACCAAGAAGTTGCCAAATAGGCAAGAAAACATCACCTAAATCAGAAACACTGGGAGGCTAAGTGCGATTTACATGGCAAGCAATTGGAATGTGTTTCCCAGTTAAGAGTAGCATAGTGCATCTCAGGGTAGGTGCACTTTTGTAAATCTTATATATTGTTCTCTTAGAGTCAGATTGGGAGTAAAAGGTGTCCATCTAGATACAAAACACATTGGAGTCTCTTCCCATTAAATAGTTCTGAAATCTACTTAATAAAAATACTGTAACTTGGATAGAACATGCCTTGCATTTAAAAACAAAACAATGGATTCTTTGCAGTGCTTGCTTTTCAGCAATTGCACTGGTGACTTTAAAAATGACAGACAGGAAACTATCTGGCTCCTAATATGCCCACTGCTGGTTCATTTACATTTCTCCAAATGTAGCCACGTATTTAATCTGTTGTCAGGAAAAACCTCCCACTGTTCGGATACATGGGTAACACTCCAGAAATGTCCCCTTCTCATTAAGGTTTGCAACAGGGTTAGGGTTACCAGCTAAGTGAACTTTCAGTTTATAAATTCAACCCCAAGATGGACACAGGCCAGAAAGTGTTAATGGGCATGAAGGAGTGTGGTTCTGGCAGAAAATAATGACAATAATGATGTAGGGGCAGTACTAGGTTTAAGATTTGCAGACAGACAGTAAGTAGTTTTGAATAGAAACTTCTTTTCTGTTTAATTTTTTCTAACTCAATAAACTGCATATTACTAGAAAAATGGGGCAGAAACTAAATGTTTAGAATTTCCACAAAAGAGCAAAGGTAATCAATGTTATATCAAATATTGCCAGAATATGGAGACTTCTATCCCCATGGATGCGTATGTATATACATAGATATACACATATGCAGACATGTATACACACATGCACAGACACACTACATACACACAAACATGCAGATGGCTACACAGTTAGTTTACACATAGTTTAGTGTGTTCACATGACCCCTCCCCCCTAAAAAATCATGGCTATTCCTATTCAGTACTAAAGTATAAACAGTATAAAGTATAAGAAATGTTTCAATTCTTTACATGTTTCATAAAATATTTAATTATACAGAGTGACCTCTTTGTTAATTAAATTTGATAAAATACAGTTTTAAAAATTAATCTGACATACTAATTCCAGTGTTTCCAATTGTTTGCCTTACAACTTCTGTAAAAGCAGGTTCAAAGCTCTTTTGGAAACTATCTACCTATTAATTAGTTACCCAATTAATTACTTCTTTTTGTCTGGAGGTGTTGAAAATTTATCTGTATGGAAAAGATTGTCTCTGGTTTCAGGAACTCATAAGAAACTTAGAACTAAACATTAATATAGGAATGACATAATAAATGTAATGACCCATTCTTGGTATTAATATAACACAATCCACCAGTGGTAACTGGATATTACCCCATTCGTGTATTATTTCAGACTTCAGAGTCAGCATCACTGTTGTATAAAATATACAGAAAAGCTAACTATACAGCTATGAGTGATTTGAATTTATTACAAATTTACATGAAGAATATTACAGTTTTTACAATTAGCCTAATATAAATTTATTAATTAATTTTACTTCCAAATTGCAGTTAAATTACATTTAAATCCTATCTTAAGGATTGGGAAGATGCATCGGTGGGCAAGAGTGCTTGTTGTCCAAGCATGAGAGCCTGACCCAAAGATTTGGGGTACACATAGACAGCTGGGTGTGGCTGCATGGATGACTATAGCCCAGGAGGTTTGGAAGGCAGAGACAGAAGGGTCCCTCGGGGCTTGCTGGCTCCTAGTGTATCTTAGGTTCAGTGAACGACCCTGTCTCAAAGGAATAGGCATAGTGTAATAGAATCAGGACACTCCATGTCCTCCATTGGCCTTTGTATATATCCCCTTGCTCAATATATTACATATACATATTACAAAATACACCTTCCACATATGTCATGCTTACATAAATATACGCACATCACACACACACACATACATCTACAGTGATTTCATTTCAAGTACCCTGATTTGGTTTTAAAAATAATGCAAATTCTAGAAAGAATGTTAAACATATTTACATGGCTTGAGGCCTTGATATTCAATATATATATATAAATGGACAACCATACATATTATTTTCAAATGCTTACTTGCAGCCATGCCGAGTGCATTGTCCTCTGCCAGAACAGAATTTGAGACATGATGGACCTATATAAACTACAAGAAGAAAGAAGTCATGTAAAGATGGCAACATAATTGGAAAGCCCACAACCATTACTGACATAATTAGAAAGCAATATCCACAAAGCACGGAGCACATACTCACAAGTGTGTTGGATCTCTTAATTTCCATAAATAATTCTTCCAAGATTTTAATGTTTGTACTCAGAGGAACAGGGCCATGAAATTTATATTACTTACTGCAATGTCTTCTCCTCCAGTAATTACAGACAGACCAATACTGCCTGTGCTCTGCAGGTTCTATAATGCACACATTCTTTGGGGAGAAGTAAAGGATCTATTTGATGCATCGCAAAGTGGAGAGGCTACAACTATAACTTCTAGTGTTAGGGAGGAAATCTACAAAATTATAGATGAGCATTACATATATTTCTAAATATTAATTCCTCCTCCCTGGAAATATGGAGCAACATTAAAAATGTTAGAAGAATTAGATAGCGCATTGCCAGGTTAAAAGTGCTGGCATTAGGTATCCAAAAATTCTGGATTTACATTTTGGCTTTTGGAAAACTTTGAGTAAGTGATTTATCCTGATTAAACCTTGCTGTCTCTACTGTGTAAAGTGGGATGATGATTTTTCTTAGAGAAAAGATTATGTATATCATGTTCATGATGCCCTGTACCATGTACCTGTAATCGGCACAGCCACCACCACCTTCCAGCCCTATCATCCAGCAGGCTCCACCATCCAAGAAGTACTGAGGAACACATCAGACATGCTTGGTTGTAAGCTGCAAGAGGCCTTGACCTGGGTCCTGCGAGAGCATGCTGCCCCCTACAGGGTTATTCTGATGGTTCATGGGCCCTCAACACCATATCATTATTTTGAAAAGCCTTCATAGAAACAAGATCATCAATAACACAAGGCTTCCCCAGTCAATAAAATTACAACCAAGCATTTATCATCCTCCCTGCCAACTTCATCATCATCACCATAATATAGCTGGAGAAGTAAAGATATAGGAGACATAACCTGCCCTGGGATTTTCCATTTTGTTAACATTTTCAGGATTGTTACCTAACAAACTTATGATGCCGTGCTAATGTTTTCCCCATGTATCTTCCTTCTCACGATTATCCACACTGTCTCAAGATTTCTGCGATGTAGTTCTAGGTGTTGAGAACTAAGTAGGAGAAGTGGCAGATGTGTTCTTTCTGGAACAAATGTGAGTCTTCATCCTGCTCTGTAAGCATGCCTGTTCCTGGACAACCTCACACAGGATTGAAGAGATTGTGTCTAAGTTGTGCAGCCAGCACTGAGCATGTACATTCCTTTTCCCAGGAGACTCAAAGCATGACACGTGGTCTGCAGTATGTGTGTCCTAAAGACTCCTTGACCCCAAACAGTACTCTATGTGCTATTCTCAGGAAACTGGGGAAACCTTTTCATACGTCTTATTATTCTTGTAATTCCATCATATGTGTACTTCATTTTATTCCTAGTTTTAAACTTCTTTTGTGATTATTAAAAGTAAAAAGATTCACTATGAACTCTTAAAAAGAAGAACACTGGCAAAGTCCGTTCATATCCTACTGTGTGGTGGGCACACACCCTGGACCAGCCTATTAGCATCTGTGATAATTAAAATGCCATGCAAATATTCTACCAGTGGAGAAACTTTATTTTAACAAATTAAACCTTAGTTAGTTTAGTTTATAAACTAGGATTAGTATCATGGGCCTTCTTTTTGTTTTTTAAATATTCAACATAGACTTCATATTGGCATATGGTTAAATTATCTTGCCTGAAGAGGTCTTCAAAATTTAAGAACTTCATGTAATTAGTTTCTTAGGATTTAAATTATTCAAAAACAGAAAGAGAATTATAATATGTGGAAAATCATTAAAGTATGGTTTTATTAATTAGAACAAACCAAGACAGAGGGTATGTTAAAATTACTTAAATACAGACATTTTGTCCTTCCGTCTATTCTTATGTGTCTCCTCTACAGAACCTTTCTAGTTCTTGTAATGTAAACTTTTAGTCAAATTTACGTATGTCCTATAAATCTATCCAGAAATTAATATAGAACAAACAAACAGGATTGGTATTTAATAACAATGTAAAAGCCATGTAACTTAACATAGTAAGATAGCTTCTCTTATTGTGCAGTAAAGTACACACTGCCCCACACAGAGGCTGGTTTTAAAATTATGCAGAAGCCATCAAAAATGCAGTCAACAGTTTCTATGGATATCCATATATTTCTTTCATGCTATTTTCTGAAAACAGGGTAGAGGCTTCACTAGTATCTTAGGGATGATGTCTCCCCACTCTGTGTAATGTCTGCAACTGGAAGATAAGCATCCCAGATGTTATGGAAGTTATTCAGAAGAATGGGTCTTATTTTAATACATGCAGTATGGTACTTATGGTAATTTTGCATAAAAATTCAAGAAAACGTTAGGCTATCCCTTGTCATCAACTGTGGATTTGAATTTTAGGAGTTTAAGCATTTTAAAATTATATATGTTGAGACATTTCAGCATCTAATATTGCTGACTACCCAGCCCTTTTTTTTCTTTTCCTTTTTTTTTTTTTTTTCCTGATTGTGCATCCCTGGGCTTCTCACAGAACGCAAAGGAGAAAAGGAAGAAAGGGCATTTAATGAATCTCAAGACCATGACTTAGAAATGTGATTAAGTCTGTGCAGACTAACAAAACACTGGGAAAGCCTACATCAATGGCCCATGATTGTGATAGGCACAGACACTAACCATTATCAATTGCCCACATGTTTCCAAGGATTGGTCCTGTTTGTCTCCAGCGAATCCTGGTGTCTCGGGTGAGTGCTGCGTTAGGGAGGGGAATTGTGATTCGGTTCCATCTGCAAGAAAATTAGCATGAAATCAGCTTCACAACTATGTCCTCATCTTCTGAATTAGTCTTACGTGTGTGAGGTTTCTGTTTCTGCTTGCTAGCAATAACACCAAAATTAATCAAGGATTTACATTTACCTGTTGGGGTCTGTAGCTTAATTTTGCTGGCCTTATAAATATTTTACTATGTAGCTAGTGCTTATTCTGTAAACTGGGAAAAATTTTACAGAGTCATCTTGAATTTTATACTAATCCACAAGAGGATATGTACTGCATCTTAATTCATGTGAAAATTTAGATGGACCACCATTATACACAGTTAACAACAGAATAAGGTCTGAACCAGGTCTAATTTCAAAAGTTATCTTTCTTCTACTCTTGCTTTAAGTGCATATTTTGTTTAAACAAACAATAACCATGGGGCTATAATCAAAACCACAAATATTATAATAAAGAATAACTGATCTCATTCAGTATGATCATGTACAGGATTTAGCTGAAAATATGGATGTATTTATTTTCACAATACCACTCCTAAGGAAAAGTCAGTTTACTTAACAATTATTTAAAATTCTAGTCTCAGAATTACTCACTGTTTTTCATTTCAAGACATGGATCCATCTTTTCACTGAACCTTGGAGCATGTTTACTCACCCACTGTAGTTTTCTGAGGAGTAGACGGTGCTGTGGGGGAGATGGGGGCCTGCACAGATCTCTGGCAGGCACTCAGTGTGGAGTAGGGACCAAGACCGTCCATGATTAGTAGAAAACTCCAAGCTGACACTAATAACAACAGAACATAAAAACAGAAAGGGGGCAAAGATAACAAATGAATCTTTATTTCTGTCTAAATACTCTGAGTGAGTCAATGAGTGTGGGATTCCTCTAAGACCTTTACTAAATGTTTCATATCTCACTGAAGTCTGACCAGCCTTCAAAGGGCAAGCTGTTGGATTCCTGCCATAAGAGCTATGTCTGAAGGACAATAAACAGTAAACTGGGTTTGTGCTCTTGAATTTGATGGATAGCAAGGCAATTACCATGTCTCACACTGTCACTTCATCCTGTGAATGTGAGGCCAGCAAAATTCTTACATAGGATCTGAGCAACACTTATGCAAGAGAAGCAGAGAAGTCATAGCCCTTGAAGTGCTAATTGACTTCCATAACTATTATTAGGGGATCACCAGCCACGAAAGGCCAATCTTGTCTTCAGTTATTTTCACCCAGCAATCTGTTATAACGGATGCTGCCACAGCATGTGTGAACACCTCTGATATCTTATATCAAGCTCCCAGAATGAAGTCATTCTAACTGAAAAATCCATCCAGTCATATCCCTCCTATTTATTAATTAATCAAAGAAAGTTTTTAGGGAGAAGGTAGGAATCTAAATATTGTTATGGATTTTTTTTAAATCCCAGCCAAAAATCTATTGACAAATCTACCTTAATGGTCAAGCGCATGTGTTCATTTCCCACTGGGTTAGGACACTCAGTTTGCTTCTCACCTGTTACCAGGCTGGTGTGTGCCACAGCCCAAGTTAATAGAAAATTGGATCATGTGAGACATTGTTGAAGGGAGAACAGGCAGCACATGGAAGAAGTCTACAGCCCAGACATTCCGGTTATGCCCTTGGTGGTTCTTTTGCCTGAGACAAAATTTGGTGGCAGGTGTCTGAAGTTCAGGATTGATGACCACAGAAACCAAAGCTGGAACCTTCCAAAAAAGGACACTCAGATTATTTACAATCCTTTCCATTTAGTCAGTATGAATCCTCTTAGACTCTATCTAGCAAATCACTAAGCACCTAACTGTCACTTACTGTGCATCAGGCAATGACTTTGTGCTATATTTATTAGTTCATGTGGAAGGTATTGTCTTCAAGGACAGCTCAGAATTTCTGTCTGGACAGTGGGACTCCTGGTGTGTGACTGATCACCTATGTGCCTCCCAGGACAGGACTAAGACAGCTGAATAATTATTTGATTTTATCATTAATGCTTTCAAAAGTGGCTTTGTATAATATTAGTGTTTTTACCAACTAGGAATTTTGAAAATAAGATTCAAAATAGAAGTAACCATAGACAAGTAAATCAATACATAATCTTTAATTCCTATGATTTGGTGAGAAGCATTCACAGGACCAGAGCAGGTGGAATCCTACCACATAATTGCAAAATTTGTAGTCCACAATAACATTCCAAGTACTGTCAATTGGGTTATACAATCAATTGAATGTTGAACTTGCTGGATATTTTTCTTTGATTGATCCCTATGTTGACCATTTTAAAATGCTTTATTTTGTGTGTATATGTGCATATAGACTGGTCTGCACATGTGTACATGAGGCGGTGGTTGAAGTCATGTATCTTCCTCAACAACTGCTCTCTATTGTTTTCCACTTGGGGTCAGCAGCTCTCACTGAAACTGGAGCTCATCTATTCAGCTAGACTGGCTTGTCAGGGTCTAAGGATCCTCCTGTTCCCACCTCCCCTGTGTTGAGACTGCAGATGTGCACCACCATGACCAACGTTTTACTTGTGTTCTAGAATCCAAACTTAGTTACTACTGCTTATAAAGCAAGCTTGGAACTGACACAGGCTTCTCCCCAGCCCCCAAATTCTGGAAAGTAGTTAAAGTGCTATCAATATGGAGAGAAAATACTAATGAGTATGGTATAAGATCAGTACATATTGATAGAATAAAAAAAATCGCACCCATGACAAGCATCTTGAATGGTTTTCTAGATGTTTGTAAATATCCAGAAATAACACCTGTCCACCCAGAGAGCAAAGGGAAATGACCAATCCTAGAGCTCTAACTAGCAAAGAAAAATGTAAGGGTAACAATGACTTGAACTCTTGCAATGCCTTCTGACTAGCCAGAAGTGAGGCTCTACTCATTGTGTCTAAAAGCAAAGCTATGAAGCTGCATAATTAAAGTCATGTTTACAGCCTTCTCAGGGACAAGAATAACTGTCAGTCAGAGGACTGAGTTTTGCTTTATTGTTGCTGTAATTGTTCTTCCTGACAAAAATCAGAGTTCTCATTTATATCAGTAATAAAAATGAATGTTAAGATTCCCAAGTCCATTAAAAAAATCTAGCAATTTCCTGGGGTGACAAGGAAAGAGATGTATACTCTGTGCTTGGCATGGTCTTCATGTATGTGGCTTTGGCCTGAGAGTTCTGAGGTAAGTCATCAGGCACAAGGACTGGCATTTGTACCTTATAGGAAGAATAGGAAAGAGTGTCCAGTGCAATGTGTTCTTTTCTTCCTTCAGTCTTTGCATATAAGATGATATCGTTTTCATGAGAGTCTCCAGGGTCACAGATTCCTCCTGTACCAAACAAACGATTCATAGTGTTAGAACCAACTTGAATAAAAAACATCACATGTAGCATTGGAAATCAGAGAAATGACAATACTACATGTCACTTAATGATACCTTTACACAGAGACAATGAGACCCAAGAAATTAATTAATGAAGATAGCTCAGAAGAGCCAATGTTCCAGATCAAAGACTTGACACGTAAAAGACAACATTCTTCTTTGTTTGATAGAATTACCCAAATACGTGGCCATGACTCAATCCAGTTAAAATGAAGCGCATTTGTGTGTGCATGTGTATATATGTGGCACACATGTACATATGCTTTTTTTCAGTGTGTGGGTATATGGTATATGTGTGTATTGTACTTGTGTGTGTAGGCCAGAAAAAAACCTTGTGTGTTATCTTTTCAAGACAAGGTCTTTCATTGGTTTGGAACTCATCAAGCAGACAAAGCTGGCTGATTTGCAAGTCTCAGGAATCTGTTAGTCTCTGCCCCACAGTGTTGGAATTATATAGTAAGCCATTATGCCTGGGACTGACCATCTCCCCAGGCCTGATGAAAACCTGTTTATCACAGCCTTTATGTAGCTGTAGGTTTTTTTCTACTCATGCTTAGGTCCTCTATTTCATTAACAAGTCTGTTTTGTGCCAGTACCATACTGTTTTATTTTTATTGCTCTATAATATATCTTGAAATCTGGAATGGTAATCCCTACAACATTGTTCTTCTTGCTTGGGATTATATTGGCTATATTGGCTATGTGTGTGGGTTTTTGTGTGTGTGTGTGTGTGTGTATGGTTTCAAACAATTTTAGGATTTTCCCCTCTATTTTTAAGAAAAATGTTCTGGGCTGTTTGATTGGGATAGCATTGACTCTGTAAGTGGCCTTTGGTAAAATGGTTGTTTTTGTAATATTGATTTTATCAATCCATGAGCATTGGAGGTGTCTCCATTTTCTAGCGTCTTCCTCAACTTCTTCACAGATTGAACCTTTCGTTGTAGAGGTCTTTCACCTCCTTGTAAAGTTTATTTCAAATTCTCATCATCTTTGAGGCTACTGTAAATTATGAGTGTGCCCACAATCTCTTTCTCTGTGTATTTGTTGTTGGTGTACAGAAAGGCTTTGTAAGTTGATTTTGTACCCTGTCATTTTGCTGAAATTGTTGATTCTTTATAGTTTTTTGGTGGAAATCTGGGGCCTTTATGTATCATATCATCTATAAACTGAAATAATTTGACTTCTCATTTTTTCATTTGTATTCTTTTAGTTTCCTTCTCTTGCCCTCCAGTTCTAGTTAGTGCCCTGAGCACTATATTGAAATGCAGTGGGGACACTGGTCAGCCCTGTCCTGATTTTAATGGTGTCATTTCAAGTTTTTCCTCCATTTAGGATAATGTTGGATGTGGGTTTGTCATACATAGCCTTTATTATGTTGAGGCATGTTTTCTCTAGTCCCATTCTCTAGGACTTTTATCATTAAGACTTGTTGGATTTTATCTAGGGGCTCTTCTGTATCAAGTGATTTTTGTCCGTAAGCCTGTTTATATCAAAATGTCTGGTGATTCCCTGCATGGAAGACTTCTGAAATGGTGCTATGAAGACGTTTCAAAAGTAGACATGCTTGTGTTTTAAGTATGTACTTTTTACTTTTCACATTAATATTTGGTGCTTCATTTGATTAGTGGCAGGTATATAGTAGAATTTGCTCTCTCACTGTACTTTGTGTTCACAAAATGTGATATACCATTAGAACTGGAAGGGAGGAGAGAGACCCCTGGTGATAGAATAGCCTGAGTAGGTATTCTGTCTTGTCACCACTGATCTATTCTTTCCCTATTACATGTTATCAACAATTGTGGCTAAGTAGAAGAAACCCCGCCCCAGCAATACAAGAGTACAGGCATGCAGAAGCATTTCTCAAATGCATCACACCAAACTTTCCTGTTATCCTTACATTTCTAAGAAATCTCTCAGTTCTAAAATAAATACCACTGATGTTAACTTTATTTACAAGTAACTGCTATTGCTGGTATTCTGTAGTGCCATTAAGGTACTCTTCAAACTCTCAAATAGGATCACCCTTTGGAAACTTATTGAAATCAACATATAATGATTGATACACTACTAAAAATTAAATAAGCCAAGTCTGTTGTTTACAGATAATCTGGTTTGATTCAATTAGGATAATAGAGGTCTTCAGTTTGGAAGAAACTGTCTGACAAGTAAAGCTAAAAAAGCTAGATAGAGCCTGATTAGTATAACAAATTTGATAATTGAAGAACTGTTAGCCAAGAAGAAAGCTATAAAGAAAAACATTAACAGTAGATGGGAATGGAAGGGTCTTTGAAGACCGGAGCATGTCTTGGGGACTGACTTGGCAGAATGAGTGAAGGAGAGCATGCCACTGCTCACGGGTCCAGAACCACTCCTATGACACAACAACATAAAATGTCTGATCTGATGCTGTAACACTGACTGGTCCTTCAGGATCAGCCATTGCATTTTCATAGCTTGTTAATGAGAATTGTGACTGGCCTATAAATCTTTGTAGTGTCTCCAAGATAGCACTTTTGAGGCCCTTAAGTAAAGTGGTTGAATCCACAAAAACCAATAGTTGACTATGGTTACTTCATTAAGGCAATATGCAAAGTCCATTCTGGTAAACAAGCACTCTTATTTATGGAACACTGTTCTTTCGTGTTCCAAAGAGCAATTACTTTTTAAAAACCTGACAAATGCCTTACCAGAAACTCATGGTTGGCTTCAGGAGTGATCTATTAGATTTATACTGCGCAAATCCTCTCAAGCCTCCTAAGTTCATTGTATAAGCTATTTGACATGTTTGAGCAGCACTGAACGTTGGTTTGCTAACTGAGAATCCAGCGTCTGTGAGACAAATGGCAGAGCACTTGGAGCTGCTGGAACTGAGCTTGCTGCTAATCCAGTGAAGAAGAGGTTCAGCATATGTCCTACTGCTTTGTCCCTAGAGCAGCTCTGAGCATATGGTATTCCAGTGAGCTACATAATGATGGTGTAGGAAATCTGTGCCTACATTTGTTGAACAGTTTTAGGAATACAATATATATTGTAGCTTTAGACACTGAAGCTACAAGTGAAGAAACAAATCTGTCTGGTAACTAATTTTCTTCCCAAGGAAATACTGCTTTTCAGCAATATTGTAATGAAGAATTGAGGTTGCAAATGGTGCCAGATACTCCCTGAACAGGTTTTGTCTTTAGTTAGACAACTAGAGTTTGAATAAGAATAATGATACCTACTTATAATTCGGTATATACCACATGTTATGCAACAGAAAATATTAAATACAAGTATTATGTGTTTCCACTTTATAACAGTTTTCTATAAGTGTTATATGCATTTATCACTCTGCTGATGGAACTGAGACCGGGAGAGGCTCTACAATTGGCTCAGAATCAAGTCTATGTTTGATGGCATTCTGTTTGACCTCAGCCCTGCATTGATGACCTCAACCCTGTAATGACATCACCCAGGGAAACTGTGGATGTCTGTATTTATAAGGGGTTGAAAATTAGCATGTTGCTCATGTTGTGCATTTTAAATTAGCATATGATTATTATTTACTGAGTTATGTGATCGGAGCTGAACTAGGGAAGGTAGATACAGTGGAAATGTAGACTTCTGCCCAACAGATGTTTATCATTCAGGGTCAAAAATCTGTAGAGAAAATTATGGTTTTGATACCGGTATCATTTATTTTAGCATTTCACTACATCAGAGTAATAAAGCAGTTACTAAGGTTATTGTAAATGGTGGTACCTGGGGGAAGATACAGATGAAACAAAATTCTCCTATTTCCATCAAACATTGAGTAATGTTTAGAAATTATCAAGAAGGAACTAAAGCATGAAAGGTCCCACTGTGTGATGCTACTGTAACAGATCTAAGGATGTAGGCCTGGATGGTCCATTCTCTGCACCTTCATTAACTGGTTTCCGGGATCTTCCTGGGTCTCTTAAGAACAGTAAATGAACAGCTCAGAGAAGAAACACATGTGGGATGCTCACACAGGACAGAATGGAAAAGAAAGTCCAAGAGGAACCAAGGCATTAAAATGATGACAGAGTTTATCTGAAATGTTCCTCTGAGGGCAATATGTCAGTCCTGTGAAATTCAGTGACAGCAACATCTTCAGGAAGACATGGAATCTTGCTTAGCTTACAAAGCTTTGATGCATGGTGGAAAGAAGGACTCAGGAGGCAGTTTGTACAGCAATTAAAGTACAGAAGAATTTCAATGAAAGCCAGCTAGACAGGCAGTTTTAGAGTACTTAGACACTGTTTTAAATAGCTTTATAGACATTCATTTGTGTGAAGAAAACGGTTTTGCTGATTTTACTATTTTTCTAGCACTGGGCTAGGCAGGGAAATTGACCCCAGTTGGTCATTTAGTGAGAAAACAAAACAAAACAAAAAAAAACCCAAACCAAACAACAATAAAACAAAAAGAAAAACAAAAATAAAAAACAAGACATACACAGTAGTGTTCACTAACCTAGGCTTTTCTTTACATTGTGTGTTACCTACAGTCAAGTATGACATACAATTACTAATAGTCATCTGACACTTCACTTTCAGAACAGTTGGGTATTATAAATTATTTATTAGTGTGTGTGCATGCACATGTATACATGTATGCACGAGTTCATGCATGAGTGTGTTTCTGTGTATGTATAAATACTTATGTTTCTACGGCAAGAGGCCAGAAGCCAATGCTGGGTATCTCTGTCTATTTCTCTTCACCTTAGTTTTTGAGATAGTGTCTCTGACTACATCTGGAGCTTGCCATTTAGCTAGACTAGCTGGTCAGCAAGCCCAAGGATCCTTCATCTCTGTCTCCAGTGCTGGGATGAGAGGAACTCAATGCTACACTTGCCTTTTCACATGTGTGCTGGAGATCCAAACTCAAAACCTCAAACTTTCAAGGCAAGTTCTTTATCCACTAAGCCATCTCCTCAACTCATATTTCATTTATGAAATATGACTCTCTTTGTTAGTTTTTTTTTTTACTATGCCTGCCTGATTTATAGTTTACTCATCAAATTTCATCATGTGTATGTGTGTATGTATAGAAGACAGCACAGCATATAGAAAAGTCCCATTAGGACTCATGGTTTCCAGGACCCACAGAAATTAGAACATAAGGAGAGAGTCCTCATAAAAAGAACAACAATTAGCATTAGTTGCACTGTGCTGATAAATCATAGTAGAAATCCAGAGAAAAGAGACAATGTGAACTAAAAGAGCTGAGAACACAAACTAAATGCTCAGTTGACATTTTCAGGGGAGCAATGAACAGACACTAAAATGAATGATATTCATTAGGTTAATTTTGTCTTGTTCACTGAAGTTTGGCTCTAAACTGCACTAGATTCCGGTCCTCAAGAATGTCTTTTGAAGCCTGACTGCATAGCAGTTGATGTCAAAAAAGACATCTCCAGGAAAAAGACATCGGGATGGGTATGGCCCTCATGCCTCACTGGACAGTGACAGGGGGACCAGAGCCATTACAAGGTCCCCTTCAATTACTGGAGGTCAGGCCTCTATCCCTGCCTTCACAAGATTAGAATAACCACAGCCCTTCTATACTTAGAGAAGGGAGAAGATGTCAGGGGCAGCCCTGCTTATACACTGAGGCCTAAAATCAGCCATAGACCTAAAATCAGCCATAGGTCTACAATCAGCAATAGGCCTGTCATACATGTATACTAACACCAAGTCTTGGGTCTCTGTGGAAAAACATTGAAACAGATGGCTATAAGCTATTGTAAACAGGCAGCTTTTGTGGAAATTTACCAGCCTGAGTAGTCACAGACCTTGTAAATAGGTAGCCTTGGCAGATAATGCCAACTTAGACAAGGACAAGTGAATCATAGGCAGAGTCATAGCGACATTTCCCCTGAACCTTCATCCAGTCAATACCCTGTTTTGAAAGGTATCTGTACTCCCCCTGAACACCCACGCTCCAGTGTCACCCCTTCCCCATGTCCTGAGTTTTTGTGTTTATAACCCCTGTGTGAATAAGTAAAAATTACGATCTGAAAAATAAATAAATAAATAAATAAATAAACAAAACAAAAAAATAAGAATGTTCTTCAGAAAAAAAGAATGTCTTTTGAATATGTAAACAGATAAATAAGGGAAATGAGTCTTTAACTAACTTCTGAAACTTGAACAAGTTAATACAAATGCTAGTCATGAAGACTGATATGAACCAAGGATTGAACATATCATAAATCAGTCTGAGAGGAAATGTGATCTTGAGCTTCTCATTCTTAGAGCTCCACACTGAGCGGGTGGTTACTTAGGAATACCTCTTAAATCCCTCTCACATTGCCTGCATTCTCTTCCATGCTCCCATATTTTAGGATCTTTTTCTGCGTGCAGCTTTCTCTTCTCCAGGCCTGACTCACTCTACCCATCTCGATATCCTCTCTCCTGCCCTGTTTTATCTTACCCTAAAAGTCAGCTTCTCTCAGTGCTGCTTCCTCAAGATCTTGACTCCATTTCTGCGTATCACTGATGATATCTGGAAGCAATGGTCCTGATTCTGAGGCATGTGTCTCTCATCCCCTGCCTTCTCAAGGCCATCCCTGGTTTCTCAGCCTTTATCCTGGCTGACTTTACCCTCCATGGCATTTCCTACGCAGCAGGCCACCCTGTTATTCCACGGGGGCACCCTTCCCTCTTCCACTTGTCTCCTTTCTCCTCCCCTTTATGTTCTTCTGCACTTTATATTCTCTTTCCCTTCTACCTCCACTGGGAAGAGATTTTTCCCTAAGTTTTTCATGTTGCTGGCTATCTGCAGCTCTGGAGAAATTAGTTCAACTTTCAAAATTCAGCCAAAAGCCTCTTCTCTTTATTCAGTATTATTTATTGAACACTTGTTCATCGAGGATCAGTAAGCAAATGGTTTTCAAATGTGCTCTAAACTATGAGAAGAAGCTCTATCTTTATGTAGTATTCTAGAAATCTGAGTCTTAACATGTGTAATGCCAAATCTTCCGCATACCTGTCTCTTTTTAAAATGTGTCATTGTAGGGAATGGTACTGGTCCTCTAGGAACTGAGAAGAGAAATGTGCATTGTTTTCATAACCCACAGTCAGCTGTGCCCCAGATTAAGCTGGTTCTGTCTCTGCAGGTGTCCTGTCTGGTCCTCTCCTTCCCACCTCCACTTAGCACTGGCTCATTCTCCTGATGCCCTGACTAGCACATTAGATACTTAACAGAACTGCCAGACAAAATACATTGCATGGAAAGGGATGTATTTATCCAAATTTGCTAAAATTACTGTTTAAAAATATTATTCATTATAAACTTATAACACTAGTACATTTTAACTAAGCTATATACGATTCTGTTCTATTTTGTTGGGTGAAGTCTGACTCCATTGACCTAGCTAGTGTCTTGTCTTCAGGTTTCTAATTATTATAGTCTTTTCTTCATACTAGAACTATCGCACTAAAACAAAACAAACAACAACAACAAAAAAAAAAAAAAACAGGTAATATAACCCTAGTAAGAATCCCTTGACATGACAGCCAGAGGAAGAGCTAACCTCTTTAGCCATCTTACACACTTCCATTAATCCTTTGAAAAACTAGCCAACTGCAATATATCACACATTTTGATTTTTTAATGTTTTTTATTTAGAATGTTTTCCCTGAAATCCTGACCTTAGAGGATTGGTCCAGTGACACCTTGTCCATGAAGCCTCACCCTTATCTTTCCACTGTTGCCACCCTCAGACCTCTCTGCTCTACCATAGCGCACTGTGCATGAAAGCTTGCTGAATCCTCTGCACACACAGTTAAATGTCACTTGTGGTCATGGGGCTTTGTCTGAGTCACTTCTAAAGCAGTAATGATACAGACAGATGTGTGGCAGTGGCACAGACAGATGTGCGGTAGCTGCACAGACAGATGTGTGGTAGTGGCACAGACAGATGTGTGGTAGTGGCACAGACAGATGTGTGGTAGTGGCACAGACAGATGTGCGGTAGCTGCACAGACAGATGTGTGGTAGTGGCACAGACAGATGTGCAGTAGTGGCACAGACAGATGTGCAGTAGCTGCACAGACAGATGTGTGGTAGTGACACTGACAGATGCGTGGTATCTGCACAGACAGATGTACAGTAGTGGCACAGACAGATGTGTGGTAGTGGCACAGACAGATGGGTGGTATCTGCACAAACAGATGTGCAGTAGCGGCATAGACAGATGAGCTGGGGAGGCTGATTTAAGAGCTTTTCTGTGTTAGCTTACTCATCCAGCAACTCTATGACTGGGGTAGCATTGCTCTGCATTGTCTCTCTGTGTCCTACTCCAGGCTCTATATTCAATATGTACAGCTTACTCTTTAGTGAATAGAGTTCCTTTTATCTAGGAGGGTATTTGGGCTTACTAAACAAATCATCCTACAGAGTCAATACTATTTTAATCCATTAGTTAATAATCAATTTTGTTACAGAAAGAATTAAAGATGACTTAATATTCCACACATAAGCTCTAGATAAAGGAATTAATACAATGATGACTTAATCCTTTATATATGCATGCAGATGGGTTGGTTTACAATTGAAATTCTAATTTCAAACAAATTTTACCAAGTAGGTAAAGCTAGAAAACAAAGTATAGTGGTTATTACAACTTTATGTTTTGCTCATGCTTTCTAGAAATTACTTTTAATAAAGTGAGAGACGGTTTGAATATTATTTAAAGGAAATGAAGTCTAGATATTTAAATGCACACCCTAAACTTTACAATTACATCACTTTAGACCTAGAACTCCTCTGGTTTGAACAGAGAGCTGCTGGAAGCATCACATGGGCAATATGCTTGCAGCCATGATAGTCTTGAGATTTATCTCATACAACTCTGAGCTGTACAACTGTCGAGAAGCTGAGTCAGGCAAGTGAAAAATATCTCAGAATCCTAGGCTAGGGAATCTGCCCTGATGACCTGACTTTTGGGGGGCTACGTTGAAAGGTTAGATAATCTTTAATTCCTGTCCCATTTCTAAATCCTGCTTGTGATTTTTCCATTCCACAAGGAAGGCATGTGACAGGAATCGTGTCACTGAGACAAATCTGTCAGGCCACAAATGTCAAGTCCCTATTTTATCTATGGATATTTTTCCATCTTTATGTATTTGATTTACCTATGTATCATTTGTATGTTTTTGACCACTTTTATGTGTTTTTAAACCTTATTGGAAAATTAACAGTATTATAAAACATGATAGAATACTATAAACCATTTCCCCCTCTGCTTCTCCTAATAGCAGAGTTGGGTAATAACAAGATACCCATGAAAATGAATGACTCACCTAGATGAGAGGTGGGGTTACAGGCTATGGACAAAGGGGTCACCTTGCCTTTTGCTTTTTTTCCCATTGCCTTATTTTTTAAAATGTAAATCTTTAATTTTGAGATAATTACAACATGTCTTCTTTCCATTTCCTTCCTCCAAACTTTTCCACGTAACCTCCTTCAAATTCATCACCTTTCTCAACTCAATTGGTATCATATGTGACACTACCACAATGACCAAGGAAGGGAGGTCAGAGGAAGACATTGTGGCATTTTGTCTTTGGACCTAACCATGGCATGTCAAGAATGGCCTTTCTCTACAAGATGGCATCAACAAGGCCACTATGAGGCAGGGGTGAATTCCACAGGTCTTTATTCTTCAGGGCACTTTTGGCTTTAGTAATTTTTACTTTATATAGTAAATAGTAAGTAATATTATTTACATAGAAAAAGGTAGAGGTCTGCACCTACCCATAACAAAGTAGAACCTCAGGTTGCCATAACCAGTTGTATCCATGTAGGGAGTGCATAACTTCCTCTCTCCATCTTTGAGGAATACCAGTGATAGTCCTGATTCTATGGTTCCACATTCGGAACCAACTACTGCTCCCAAGATGTCCCATCTACAAAACAAGAGGAGAATCTAAGAGTTAGAACACCAAATCCAACCTTATATAGAGTAATTGTTTTATTTAGTGATGGATAATTCTGAAGTAAAGATGTGATACCACATACTTCGGGCAATGAATAAACCATAAACATGCTGTTCAGACACACTTCTGCTATCAGCTTTAGGAAACAGAGTATTTACTTTTGTCTCTTCTGGGTTTAGAGCCACATTTGGGAACGAGAAAGTATTTATTCTTTTTTAATGGCCTGAAAATATCATACAAGGGTATAATGCATATTGAGCAAATCCACTTTCTTCTTTCCACTCCAATTGGTCCATACACATAAAATGTTTACTCTTAAAAGTACTTATAGATGACTTGAAGAGTCAAATTAACACTAAGGCAAGAGTGAACCAGGGAAGTCATTATTATAAATACTTTTATGGTGGCTTTATATTAAGGATATAGTATATATGTAATTATTATATATGTATATTATAATGAAAAGCTGTAAGAGCCAGGAAGAGTCTAGGAAATTTTCATGAGACGCTGAAATTTAACTGGGTCTTGCCAGGCAGGTGCTTGGATATATAAAGAACATTAAAACATGTGACTTCTATTTAGTGCCACCTCATGTGCTAGATCCTTTTCTACTGACTTTGCACATTAACCTAATTTCAATCCCACAAAAACTCTGTAAGACAGTAAGGACATTCTGATTTTGACTGGAAACTGAGATACACACATGTTAAGGATGGTCAACAATGGACAGGCGCTATATTCAAAACCGTGTAGTTGGACCCCAGAGCTTGTCTCTTCCTTTAGTAATATATTGGATTTGGGGTTGACAAATCATATGAGAACAGGCTGAGAACTGGGTATAACCCTAGCACAATTATAGGACAGATGTCACTAGTTATTCATAAGAGTGTGTGCTGAAGAAGAGTAGAAAATACATTTGAATTGATACATTGGAAGACAGGGTTCAGATAAAGGAGTTAAAATCCTAGTCCATAGACACTTAGGGTGATTTTTTTCAAATATGAAAATGTGATTATGTCTCTGTTTTGCTTAAGCACATTCAAGGGCTCCCCACTCTTGTCTGGACAAATTTTAAACTCTTTCATGTACAATATAAGACCCTAATTGCTTTGACCCAAGAAGTCATTTCTGGTCTCATCTCTATGGATGTTCCGTGTCTCTTTCTGTCTGGTACCAAACACCCTGGCTATATAATAGAAATTTAAAGTCTCTATAATAACCTCTGTCAGGCCTCCATGCCTTTACACACTGTCTCCTGAACAAACCCAGAGTCGTTCTCTAATATGTCCTCTACAGAGCATTTCTGAGTCTCCCTCATTTTGCCTGGATAGTTTCCCTGAGATAGCCTCACCACATCTCATATTTGATCTTTTGTGATACCACTTCCTAAATTCATATTTTGATTATTTCTCTATATGTTTTTCTTCATAACTGGTATACCAATTCCTAAGGCACATGACTGATTTTTATGTTTTTATATCTTGATCAGAGTCTAATGCCCAGCAGAAGCCTGATAATGATGGAGACATTAAAGAATTCAATACCACAAGAATGTTTGAAGCATAACTCGGTGTCTTGCCTAGAACCATCCTCAGTTTCTCCTGCCTTTGATAGTCTTGTCTTTGCCTTGTCATGTGAAAATTTTTAATTTCTCCTCTCTCCTAACCTTGGCCTCTCTCATCCTTCAGATTAGTGATCTGTTCTATTCACACATTCCCCATGTCTAAAATTTAATACAATGGCTTTGATTTTACGGCCACTTCAAGCTATTTTAAATTTGAAGACTGATGGTCCAGTTTTCTGCTAAAAGAGCATTACTAGACCATCTGCCCACTTAGACCCAGCCCTGCATGGCCACCTGAGAATCAGCTTCTTTATCAACCTTGGCTCTGGGTGAGAGCTTTATGTTCATGTCTTCAAGACACACAGGCTTATATGAGTAGGCTGATACATTTGCACCTCTCTGCTCCCAAGTGCCTCTCCCTTGACCTTCTCTACCTCCTTGTAAGCCTGTCTCAGGAATTCCTTAAGCAGAAAATTTACAATATATGATTTGTTCTAATAGAAACCAAGAGACACTTTAGGAGAATGATCAAAAACCTGTCGTTGACTTTTAGGCCATTTCCACTTCTCTATTACTAGAGATACTGCATGGAAGATCCAGTGTTAAATGTCTATATATACATGGGGCAGAGCTCCACTTGCAGCTTCTCTTTACTGATGTCTATGAGAGACAGAGAATTCAGTACTATATAGAGTATATTGCATTAGTGTGTTGGCTTTTGCTGTCTTGCATCTGCATTGCTACTTTGTGCACCTTAGAATAATTGAAAAATCATCAACTCTGATAATAGTATGTATAAGTCTTTCAGCTGAGAAAAAGTGTGAATATATATATATATATATATATATATATATATGTGTGTGTGTGTGTGTGTGTGTGTGTCTGTGTATTCTGTATCTGTAAGTAGAATTAGAGTAATACTTACACCAATCTTCAAACTTGTTGGATAAAGTTGTGCCATTAGGAGGATGTAAGATTCCTATTTCTACACAAGTTTGTTCCAGCCTTTCATTTTGTCAGCTTTGAAAACTTTAGCCTGGCAGCTGAGAAGAGGATGTTATCTCACTTTTGCACCCCCATGACTCCTAATGATGGGGATATCATACATGTTCACAGCAGGCCAGTTCTGTCACTGTTCTCAGGGTTGCTTCTCTCCCTTGCCTATTGCCCATGAGCATCTATTTCAGTCTTGTCTCACTTCCTTGTGATCTGAAGTCTACATTTGTTTTTCTAGATAGTGATTTTTCTTGGGTTTATATATTTTATTTTTCATTTTGCTTATGTCTTGGGTATATTAAATTCGAAAACGGAGTCTGTTTCTTAGTTTGTGGTTATCATTATAGTTATACTTCAAACCACACCAGAATGATTCATGCATGTCACGGCACACTTTTGTGGAGGTCCAAAGACAGATCATGTGAGATCTCTGAGGATTAAACTCAGGTTGTCAGCCAGGGCATCAAGTGATGCTGAGCCATCTTGCTGGCCTCATTCAATTTTATAACAAACTGAAGTCTTAGGAAACCTCCTGCACCTCCCCACCTCCCTTCTTCCTTCTCTGCATGTGTTAACAGATTATGTCAATCATTCACATTGCACAAGTAACTTTTTGAAATAGCTCTTCATGATAATGGTTCACTTATAAATTAAGCAGGAGCCTCATGTGATGTATACATGAAGACTCCACACTGCTTCATTGGTCTTTTATGTGCTCCATTTATCCCAGTTAAACCACTCAGCCTGCCAATCCACACAGCAAGTTTAAGTCATAAATAATGCAGATGACAACTAGGTTTAGATATACAGTGTGCTTTAGAGTCTTTTTAAATAAAAAGTTGAATTGAAAAGGATGGAACTGTCACAGACTGAGAGAACCTTCCATTAGTGTGAAAGAAGTGTTCAGTGGCTACTTTCTCTTAGCTATCTGCTGTAAATTACTTTTCTAGGATAATCTATGTGAGTTGTTTTTACAGTGTTGACCACATGTTATAATTCCAATTGTATATGGACTTTCAAATTTTATTTTAAGCCCAACTTCCCTAATTTACTCTAAATTAGTTTTCATTCCTCTTTCTAAAAACAGTTAGCTATAACATAGCAAAAGTGAAATTAATCTCTTTTGATACCCAAATATTTATAATCAAATAGCATGGGCAGTTTCGTCTACTTTGAACAGAAAGATGAAGGAAACCATGTGCTTTTCTCAAGTTTTATGAATTAAACCTTTTATAAAAGTCTTATTGCTATGAATAAATTATCTACATTTGTTAAAAATTCATCTGGAGCCCATAGAGCACAGACACATTCTTATTGTTTTCTTTTTTTCTCTTTTTAATTTTTTTTAATTGGATATTTTATTTACATTTCAGATGCAATCCCCTTTCCCCATTCCCCCCCCCCAGGAACCCCATATCCCATACCTCCTCCTGCTTCTATGACAACATGCTCCAACCCACCCTCCCACTCCCACCTCTACACCCACAATTTCTGCAACACTGGGGCATGTAGCCTTCACTGGACCAAGGACATCCTTACTCAACTATGCCTCACAATGTCATCCTCCCCTATATATACAGATGGGGCCATGGGTCCCTCCCTATGTGCTCCCAGGCTGGTGGTTTAGACCCTGGGAGCTCTGGTTCGTTGGTATTGTTGCTCTCTCCATGGGGCAGCAAACCCTTTCAGTTCTTTCACTCATCTCTCTCACTCCTCCATTGGGAACCCCAGCTCAATGGTTAGCTGTGAGCATCCACCTCTGTATATGTCAGACTCTGGCAGACCTCTAAGGAGACAGCTATATCAGGCTCCTGTCAGCATACACTTCCTGGCATCCACATCAGTGTCTACCTTTGGTGACTGCACATGGGATGGATACCCAGGTGGAGCAGTTTTTGGACAGCCCCTCCTTCAGTTTCTGTCCCATGCTTTGCCTCCATATTTGCTCCCATGTGTATCTTGTTACCTCTTCTAAGAAGGGCCAAAGCATCCACACTTTTGTCTTTCTTGTTTATGAGCTTCATGTGGTCTGTGAGCTGTATCTTGGAATACCAATGGCTTATGCTCGAAGAACAGAAATTGACAAATGGGACCTCATAAAATTGCAAAGCTTCTGTAAGGCAAAGGATGCTGTCAATAGGACAAAACAGCAACCAACAGATTGGGAAAAGATCTTTACCAATCCTACATCCGATAGAGGGCTAATATCCAATATATACAAAGAACTCAAGAAACTAGACTACAGACAACCAAATAACCTTTTTAAAAACTGGGATACAGAGATAAACAAAGAATTCTCAACTGAGGAAACTCAAATGGCCAAGAAGCACCTAAAGAAATGTTCAATATCCTCAGTCATTCAGGGAAGTGCAAATGAAAACAACCCTGAGATTTCACCTCACACCAGAAT